ACCCTTTGTCTTTTTTTGATAGCGTCCTTGAAAGAATCTTTTTACTGAACTAAAACTATATCTATAATACGACACAACGGACATTGGTTAGAGTCAAAGGCCGGCTGTATATGGAGCCAATGGGCCAATGTTTGTTATAAGTTCTTCGCACTAATGGGAATAACTCTGCCTGCGCTTGCACCAAGCGCTGCCGGTCCCAAGCCCGGATAAAAGAGGAGGGTTCATCGTCGGGGTTGACCTCCCCGCGTGGAAAAACAATCGGTTATCATTATCAAGTGCATCACTGAAAATCTTTGAGTCCGAGAGGATATACCAGCTGCATAAAAAAAACTACAAATAAATTTTATTAATACAGGAATATAAAATAATAGTTAGAAAAAAAAAACACGCCTTTGTGATCTAAGATAATCTAACTAAAAAGTAGAAAATAATTTTCAATAAATTTAAATTATGAATAGTGTGATTAACAAAAAAAATATTGTAGAAATGCGCGGGGTGCTTGGAGTCAATTGGTTTAATGTTTTAATGACAATATATACAGTATACTGATAATAGTAGTCATAATGGAAATATCTTAAAAAGCACCCACGCTTTTCTGCAGTACAATTTTTGTCTTGTAGGGTGGTCTAGCGAGGATTTGGTAGGATGATTACTCCTTGTTCATGTAGAAATTTCCGACACAATGATGCCTTTGGTATGACACTATTCGTTTGAAATGTTGTACGAGGTACAGACCTGCGGTCTTTAGCAGTTCGTTAAGGGGCAGACGTTACAGTTACATAATTCCGCTGACTCACAGCGGTGAGTTTTAGCATTTAATTGCGCGCCCACTTCCATCGTGCGCTATTGGTGCCGAATTGTGTCGATTTTATGCTTTGCGGTTGCGTCGACGGGCCGGCGATAATCGGAGCGATGAGTGGAGCGGTCAAGCGCGTTTAGGGTGTTCACCCACTGCGGTTTTCAAGTTGAATCTTTCAGCAAAGATCAGATTAGAAGTAATCCATGTTGTCCTATACCAAACTGTGGGGTAATCGAGCAGGGCCCCAAGGGCAGCCGTTTAGGGTGTCCACCCACTGCGGTGTCCAACATCGTACTGCGTTGAGTTAATCGAGCAGATATGTAATGACAATAACTGCCGATAAATTTGTATATCATATATTACTACGGTATTGTATACCATTATCCAGTGTTTACAACACGTTTTATAAACATAAATTTAACAAAACGTCTCATAAACATAAATTTAAATTTCAAAAAAACTATCTGTGGGTCACACAAATAGTTATCCCGTGTGGGGATCGAACCCACGACCCCCGACGCCGAACCGAATACCTTGGCAATGTGCCACGGAGTCAAATATCAAACAAACAAGGCGGTCTGTAGAAGAACGAAAATGTAAGTGCCACACACAAAGGTGGGAAAGCCCATGCAGTCCGCAGCCCTTTCATAACACGCAGTGTGCTTACGCGCGCCAAGTTACAGATAAACGAAAACATGGGCACGCTTCGCTCTTCGGAACCATTATGCTTAATTCCGTTGATACTTTTAAGTTTCGAACGGCGCCCATCAGAGGCGGGCGTGGAGGCGAGCTTTTTGCGCACAGTGAACATTCCTCGTATAATGAAACCTTTTTTGTATGTCATTTAAGCAAACTACCTTCTTACGAAAACTTTGCAAATAATTAAACGCTTCTCGAAAAACTGCGTACTCGTATCAAATGAAATGGGCTCATTACAATAGTGATGACGAATTATATTTTTTCTATTTATTATAGGCATTATTTTTATAGCATAAATTGGCACATTGTTTTAAACCTCATAAAATTGTTGACATTGCTACTACATACATAGTGGAGTTTAGTATCCATGAATAACACGAAACTAATGATATTTATGTCAAACATTAATTGTAAATAATAAGAAATTAAGGTAAATTCTCAATAGACTTCCAAATCCATTTTTAATACATTATTTAAATTTTATTATGAGAAATAACTTAATTTATGAAGAATCTTAAGTACAGAATTGAGATTTGTATGAGAGTAGATAACAATGTAATAAATATTAAAATTTTGTAATAAATATTCTTTCGTTGACTTTGAAATAATTATGTTATTACCTATCATTTTCTTATGTTTACTATAAAAATAATGAATGTTTCACACGAAAATCGGATAATATAAATAAAATTATATACAAATACGTGGAAAGAGGCAGATCTTACTTTACGTCTCTAATATTATTCTAAGCAATTTAATGAAACATAATATTACCAATTTATTATCTATATGAAAATAAAAGGGTCTGTTTAAAAAGATATTGGAAAGTGTCGCATCAATGCACGCACACCTCTACCAATCGCACGTGTTTACGGGCAACTATGGGTAGCGTATTGACGCTGTATTGACTGCAGCCTATGCGATTATCATCTCATTCTTACAACGCTTGTTGATTCCGCCTCTCTAATCTTCTCTCAATGACTCTCTACAAACCTATTGACGGAATAGCCGATTTCAATTAAGCCAACGCTAAGCCGGTCGCCTAAGCACTTTGGTTGGAATAAATATGCACATCTGTGTTTAGTCGAGAGCCGTGATAGCTGTGATAGCTCAGTGTCCGGGCGCACGCTTTTAATTCAATACACTCGAACCTGATATTATTTTCTTATGTGAAAAGTTGTCAAGCGAGCAGACGGTTCACCTGATGTTAAGTGAATACTGCCGCCCATTGACATCTTTTACACTTGAGGGTTCCAGATGCGTTGACAACCTTTTAAAAATTGGGCTCCGGCCACCTCACTCACCGACACCAGACGAAACGCGAAAGTATTATACTTCCACTTTACGCCGGTCTTCTGTCGGGTCGTGGTACTTACCCGGACGAGCCTGCCCATTCGTGCAACAGCCGAGGCTGCTGCGTGGCCCTACCACCGTTTAATATTTGAATGTATCACCAAATACTAGGACATCATAGGACTTCTACTACTTGAGTGTCATCAATCGATCCGGCATCATGAAGCTCTTCGTTTGTAAATGACATCTTGCAAGTTACGACGCGAGGCGCCCTTCCTAGCCACTAGGTCTGTATTACCTGTACCAAATAGTAAACAGTAAGTAAACGAATACACAATAATAGATTGAAATGGTCATGCAAAAGCCGAAGGGATCAACCGGGTACCAAATACAACGCGGTAAGTAAACGAATACACAATAATAGATTGAATCGGTCATGAAACTGAAAAAGCCGAAGGTTTCAACTGCAACGTGTTAGAACTATCTAATGTTAATACGGAGAGTGCACGGCTATTGTAATTGGCCAGTGTCGCTGACACCACATCCGCACCTCTGGCGATCTTATCGCGTGACACATCGGATACGACGGTTTATACACTGTTCGCACGAGACGCCGAATGCCATACGAATTGTAAATGCCGTATTGTGTGGGTGTACACAGCATTTATAAATCGTATAGCGTAATAAATAAAAAACTGTGGCACTCGCGGTAAAGCTATTGGATAGCATTTTTTATCAACTTAAGCAATTATAATTATTTATTTATTTTTTATTTATGCAGTATTTTTTTCTTTGATACTAACTCAAGTTACACTTTTTGAGCGTGGTGACTGATAAGAAAACAATTTTTTTTTTACTTTTATTGAATAAATGAGAAGTTAATATCGTTAAAAACATTTTTATTATCTTACAATACATGTAGGTTATTTAGGAATTTTTATCACTGAAACTATAGGTTTATGGTAACTGAAATAAGAAACATAAGTTTGAGACTTGCTATCCTCTAAATGACATATCCTCATATGATAATATAATATTATAATATCCATCCGTGCGAGCTTCGTACAGTCGTACCATATACATACACGTTAAGCGAACGCTCCGCCGAGCTACATGGTAGGCGGAGTGGGGGGTGTTAGGTTTTATTTTTGTTACGGAATTTCTTGATTCGGTCGCCGCGCTCAAATCCCGCGATAAAAGCTATGCAATAGCTTAAAAATATTTCAATACATACGTTTACAACCATATATAATCCCAAACTATCAGGGTGCTAGGCAACTGACATACTTAAATGTACTTTTACTTTTCAGACATACTTAAATGTACTTTTCTTTTGTAAATAAATACAAATGTGGTATGGCTACGCAGCAACGTCAGTGGATGTATTACATTTTCGTGTATCGTTTGGTGAGTGAGGTAACCGGGGCACACTTTTTTAAAGGTTGACAACGCATCTGCAACACTATGGGTGTTGCAACTATCCATGGGCGGCGGTTATCACTTAACATGTGTACCGCCAGCTTAGAACTCTCTCGCATAAAGTCTTACTCCAGATATAGCTCGCAGAAATAGGAAGGTGCAGTTTTCGCAGGTTGGACTGTGTCGAAGCCCGCTAAACACTTGGCTATTGTTTGCAGCAGACTGCAGAAAATTTTGAGGAATCTCTGTATTGCGTGGTCTATTGGTACTTGAAGATAATGTGAAATCCCTGCTCATCGTGGAATTATCGTATCGTCCCATATCAAGGAATAACCGTGTCTATGGGTAATGTATAAAGGGGTATACTGTAATAGCAAAAGTTTTTACGTTTCGCTGAGCTTATTCCGCCGAGCTTATTCCGCCAGCGTCAAGTACATCACTAGTGTTGAGAGTAATCTGAGAAATTAACGATACTTTCACATATTTTCGCCCCGCAACGTTGCATTTATTTATAAATCAAGGGCATCTTATCGGTTTTAAAAGTAGTTTTGGTCCCACTCACAGAATGACTGGTCTTCCGCCCTCGGGGCATATGAGTTGGCTGTGAAGTGGGTGGTAAAAGGCAGCTATGTCTGCCTACACTGTTTGGTTCGATAGAAACGAGAACGCAATACACTCGTCGTAAATACTCACAGTGTAATTCGAACTGAGCTCGCTCCAGGCGCGCGAAGCAACTCGGACCCAAAAGAATTTTCGACCAAAAGAAGCAATGTACGCATGCCTCATTTTAGAATGCACAATATTCTAAGTCCTCCGAGCGTACACCGCCATATTTGTGTCGAGTTCTTTTTTTGTTCTTATGCAAATAGCCGATCGCTAGGGTCGTAGTCCTCGGCGGACATTGTAAGGTGAAGGGCGAACGAGACGTCTCTTGAATACTCAAAGGGATCGCCTGGTTTCCTGCCAGTTGTGCCGGGCGGGCTTCCGCTGCCTGCGCGGTGATGTCACCCGCCTCCGTAATTTGAATGTGTCCCGCGCGGGTCCATCGGCCTTTCTGGAAGTCGCCGAAAGCTTCTAGAAGCATCTGTGTTTCGTTGAACTTAAGGCAAAGACTCGGTAGTCTCAATCTCAGTTATGATTTCTCTTCGAACTAAAATCGGTCAAGTTCGAGTCAGACCCGCGTAGGATTCCGTACAATTCTCCAGTCCATCTATGGAAACTTCAAAAAAATCACGTCTGTCGTATGTGAGCCCCACTAAAATATGTTTTTATTCTGTTTTTTAACAGAATTACATCGTCTGTGAAAATTTCAACTGGCTAACTATCACGGTTTATGAGATTACTGCCTGGTGAAAGACGGACAGACAGACAGACAGCGGACTCTTAGTAATACGAGTCCCATTTTACCCTTTGGGTACGAAATCCTAAAAATCAGTCATAATGATTTCTTTTATATGCGCATGGTGAAATTCTGGAAGACCGCGTTCGATAAGCTGTGGTCTTCTTCTAGATTTGTACTTACTTTTGGGCGATTCAGATTGGACCGATTACAATCCAACAGTTAATAATTGTTTATGTACTCCGTGGCGCATTTGCTAAGGTAATTGGCTTAGGCGCCGGGGGTCATGGTTCACACACGGGACAACTATTTGTGTGACCGAAAAATATTAATTTCGGAACTGCGTGTTTGTCCACGCGAAATTTTTGAAACGTCCTGCAGCACAGAATAATGGCATCGTAAAGTAAGGACAATGTCTTTATAAAATAAAAAAAAAAATATATATATATATATACTCTTATTTTCCTTTGTCACAAATGTCCGGAATGGAATCAACTCCTATTTATACCTCTTCTAGTTTCCTAGTCTGTGTGCTGCATCTCAAACAGTCCTATGCCATCCTCAGAACCCATCATGCAATGAAAACTCTATCTGATCTCATTTTGCTGCTTCCGACATAGTAATAAGGAATCTATAAGCTTTATTTTCCGGTTCTAAAGTTTTCTAATTGTTGTACTACAACGTACATCTTTTAACGCATTTTTCTTCCATTTATATGTAAAGGCTCAAAGAAAAAGTTTCGGAAAAAAGTATTTGAGGTATCAGATATTTCCTTATCCGATTTAATTTAAATTCTTGAACTGTGATGAGAAATAAAAACAACCTCAAATGTTAGGGTTTATAATATTAGGACGATTTTTTTTATAGTTATCGTGTTTATATGTTGACCTACCTACATCGATAAATACATCGAAAGGAGAGTCGAAATGGTTAAGATCTGGGGTTTCGGGTTGAAGTTCGATGTCACGATTGCGAATCTTAATAACTTAATAACGGCCTATAAGTTTTTGCCATTGAAGTTGTTTTCAACCGATTTCAAAAAAGGAAGAAGTTTTAATTCGGTTGTATATTTATGTTTTTTCAGTTCAGCCCTCCATGTAGCCCCATGTCATTATATTGAATTTGAGATTTAAATTTGGTTTTGATATTCGCGTCTAAAATGTTTAACTTGCTGAACTAAATTATTAATTAAAGTCTAATTGAAAATTTTATCCAATGTGAAAGTGTCGAATTATTCTTTTCTATCTGTCCTATATCTATTCAGACACGGTTGACTGACAAGTGGAGAATTTAATTAATAATATTCCAATCAACTTCAACATCTGTGTCTCGCATTAAATTGACACCGACGTAACGTATCTGCATAATCTGCTCTCGCTGGTACTTTCTATTGTTCGTGTCGTGTAACGAGATTTCCGTCGTGTGTTCAGCTGTGGGCAGCGTATCCGTTCCCCGTGTTACTTAGTGTGGCTTAGTTACTCGCGCAGCGTGTGGGTGTTGAATTTATCGAAGTGCATCGCCTAGGCGTTGAATGCGTATCGATCATATTCGGACTGCCACATCACTAGCGTTCGATTCGATTGCTTTTGTTTTTTTGGTTTGTCACTATAAAATCATGCAGCGTTTTGCTGGTAGAAACGGCTTTCTATTCCATCCTTGATATTTTTTGTTGTCTGCGAATGATTAAAATATTTGAGTACAGTTGGTTAATTTTTCAACTAAATTGTCAACATTTTTTTTTTCATTTAATTTCATTTTTTTTCGTTTTCATTTCATAAAATTGCACAAATTTAGATAGGATGGTGATGGTTTTGTTTGAATGTTAAGGCACATTTTTGAACTGGATCAAAATTTTAGGTTTGAAGTCGGAGTTTCCGTCTCATATGTAGGATTATATCTTCTTTGTTTAAATGGAATCTTTGCTTATTAGGTTACATATTCTATTACTTGTAATGCCTTCCTTCTTTTGCTTTTCTGGGTGGTCAATAATTTTAACTGTAAGGGTAATGATTTATAAGCAAATACATTTATAACTAGGATATAATTTAGATTATATTTTAATTATTTTATTTCTCAATACATGTAACTGCACCTAATCTTAAGTTCGTTTGTGTTATCAGTTATGTTGCATATAACATTTATCGTGTACGTTATTCAGACCAGAGCGTGATATACACGTGAGTACTATTTTGTATGCTAGTGTGCCAAAAGCTCGTCCTGGTCAGACGTAACATGTTCTAAGTATGCAGAATCACAATTTTAATTGGCACATGTTTTAGTGATACAAAGGATAAGTCCTTTGTTGGGTAGGTATAAAAATGTATATTTGTTAATTATACGTCATTCGGAGTAATTCTATAGAGCCATACAATGGCGCGTCTCTCCATGTGGGTAGGAAAGACTAATAAATTTCCCAAACGTCTCTCCAAAGGCACTGCGCGTTCCCTTTGAGTAAGTTACGCTTCGCCGGCGTGTACCCTGTATGACACGTTATTAATCTCGTCCCGTGCGGTCCTGGCCGAGATTGGGGAAGTTCTCTCGCGTAGGAGGGCTCGATAGAAAGTTTCCCCGGCTCCGTCATTAAGCGACAGGGGACCGCTAAGTGGTGAGTGCGAAATTCTTAGTGAGAATGTGAGAAATGCCGCCGATGTTAAGCCGTAACGGCGCGGTACGGGCCTCGGAATCGTCGAGTGAAAGCAAGTTGGGTAAAAGCATTTCGGGTTCGATAATGGCTGCGTACTTTTATCAAGCGCGGGCGCCGAGATGAGGTCTCTTTCGATTCAGTGATGACTCGGCGTTATTATTTTGACACCACACTTAACGATCAGACAAAATTCGTAAAGTACTCCTACGCCTGAGTGCACTGACGTCGTGGCTGTTGAGCGCCGTTCTAATGTTCGATTCCCAAGCGGGGAAATATATTATGAACGTATATAAATATAAATAAATATTTTATTAGGACACATTTCTACACAACATTTTCTAGTCCCAAACTTAGCAACGCTTGCACTATGGGTATTAGAAAACTGATAAATATACTTTTCTTTTGTTAATAAATACATATTATACATATATAAAACACCCAGACACTAGAAAAACACTATGTTCATCACACAATATTTTTCCAGTAATGGGGATCGAACCCGCACCCTCTGGCACAGGAGGCAGGTACACTACCCGTTACGCCATTCGTGTCGTCAATATAATATACAATATAATATTAGTTATAATATAATATACAATAGTTTTGTTTTGTTGCTTTCTAGTGCAAACGTCAAGTAAGTCATCAATGATGTTTTCGCTGTTATAAGTGCTCGGAGTAGGGCGCCACGCTTCATTACCTGTCTTATGATTATAATAGTTTTTATTTTATATATATATATATATATATATATATATATACATATATATTTATATTGCAATAAAAGTTCACTAAATGTATTCCATTTTCGAGAACCAACTATTCCGAAAGCTTTCGTTTGCTTGCTTGATTGTGTGGTATGTCGTAAACATCGTTAGTGTGCGCTCCGGCTACTTGAGATTCGAATCTTCGTGCATCGAGCGTTCGGCCTTCAATAGCCCGCCCGTGCCAAATGGGTCAATAGGATTCGTGATTGAACCTTTACATTACGTTCAGAGTACTAATCCAGACGAGATGAGTGAGAAGTTTGTTAGACAGTTGGAGTTTTAGTCCCGAGGACAAACCTGCCCATTCCTCTAACCGCAGAAATGAGTCTAATAGCGTTTTACATGACTTTTAATTGCAAATATAGCAGTCGCTCTCTACATATGAAACCTAAGACATTCTGTGACGCTTTTGCGTCCATAAAACTCTAATGTTAGCTACGCTACCGTTTTAAACGCCGCTTGGTTCGTATGCAGAATTATTTTCAAATGTTTCCTTGTGAATTCGTTGAGATCGACTAGATTGTTTTAACTCGATACTGTGTCAAGTATTCGGGTCAATGACACACCGATCTCCCTTCCCAGATGTTACGTTAGTTTGCTGTCTGTTAGGAAGTGGGGGCGTGTCTTTGTATGTCACACGTTCCCTAACTACGTACGTGAACGTAATCTGGACTCCGAGCAAACGCGACGTTTCTAGTGCATTTCTGTCATGTCAATGTAACGTGGCGATTCTTACGCGGCGACTGTCACTGCACACGCGACGCTACGCGGACGCAGTAAGGTCGTTTATCCCGTGAATGGCGGCGGGGCGCGGAGGTATGTAGTTGGCACATAATTGCATAATAAATGAACGGACGAGCGGGTAAACGTTGGCACTGACTGATTAAGACGGATTAACGCTGGGGCGACCACGCTGTCTGTCTTTGGACCGGACGGTACCTGATTGATTGACTCGAACTTTATACTGTGGCACTCATGTGGCACTCATGCTATTGAAAAATGGGCGCTCTGTTCGCTGAAGTACCACAGCTTCTAGCATCTGATCTAGGGTATCCACAGTTTATAGGAACTATCCACAGTTTACTTAGACGACCCGAATGGCGTAGTGGGTAGTGTATACTGCCTCCTGCGCCAGAGGGTGTGAGTTCCATCCCCACTACTGGAAAATATTGTGTGATGAACATAGTGTTTTTCCAGTGTCTGGGTGTTTATACAGCGTGTCGTTGCCATCGCGACAATAAATGAACACACGTCTAACGCTACTTGCCAATAATCATAAAAAAATATTAACGTTAAACAAAATCCATAATTAAAAAAAAAAAAAATTTCAAACAAAC